CATTGGCGGAAGGCACAACCGGTGCAACTTCCGACTTGCGAGCCAGACACACGGCTGGGTGGCGACGTCACTCACTCTGCCCTTCCATCGCCATACGGCCCCAGCCCTGAGATGCACCTCGTCTCAGCTCTCGTTGCCAGCCACCAATCCAGCGTTCTTCCGCCACGCACGGTACCGTCAGCTGAATCGTCGCCCCCGACCCGAGACGAGCGCATCTTGGTACAACTCTTGCAGTAAGTGTGGCGAGCGACGCATCGTCAGATTCACGATGCCCCAAGATCGCATCAGGACTCCAGCCCCAATCCTGGCTAGCAGCCTTCACCGCCAACTGCCGCCGTGACGTACCCGGTATAACAACGTCTGCTATCCGGTAGCGCACGACAGTGCATCATCTCCTAGGCTGCTTCCAGATGTATAGCATCTTCCGATCTTATCAATGTCCAACCTGCACCATGGCCCTTTTCCGCCGGTTCACAGTACCATGGGAAGACACTCTGGGGTAACGGCTACGCCTCCAGACAAGAACACTGTCATGCCAATTGCGGGGTAAAAAGTAACTCTGGTATCCAAGTACGCCGACGTATACTGACCCGAACATCAAGCGAGCGTTCTGTACCAACATCTGTGACGACTCCAGCAAGCAGGCATGAAGCCAGCGCATGGCACACGCAAACGCCCAAACGCTCCCGGAATCGGATCCATCAGTGTCCAACGTTGCGACACTACGTGGTTAGAAACGGCCCTTCATCATGTTCACAATATGCGCGTCATTGCTTTTGGCGTCAGGCACGCCTACCCCAGGGGACGAATCGCAGACCACAGCAACCCGTGCTACTATCGTCTAACGTCAGTAGTCTAATTCACCTCGCTTAAAGGCTCAGCTCTCGCTGTCACGTTGTCGACAATGCAACACCAAGCAACACGGATAATGACTTATCCCACTCGGTAGTCGCAATTTTCATGAAATTGTCCGAAACATGATCGCTTGTGGCGCCTCACACGATGTCTCGAACCCACACTGCACTGTCTAATACGTTGTATCCGCCATCTCCACACCTCCACCTGCAGCGCCATGCATGATTTCAAGCTTCAACGCTAGAACCTCTAGCGCGGGCTCGGTCCTTTCTTGGGTCACGTTATCGGGCCGCTACCATACACGCAGAGCACATTCGGCAACTGCCAGAGATCAAATGTTGACTTCACAGATGTGCAGCATGGATTGACATCGGAATACCGATTCTAGATTCTCCGACTATGCAATCGAAGGATTCCGGCCCTGGACAGCTGAGACGTTGTGATGTTGTCTCTCGGTCAAATACATCATCTTCGGCCCTACATCCATGGGCAACACGAGCGCACGATCAGCCTTGTGACGTCAACCTCGACAGGACGAATCGTTCCTCTAGGCAGCTGAACCTAACGCTGGCGAACTGCTCCGCGAACGATGTTGTTAGAGGCGATGGGATCGAGCATGGCCGACCTTATCTACCTGATCGGCAATATGCTAGTAATAGCTTCCTCCCGCACTTCGGGATAACTACATCCAGTGTGTTGATATGCGAGCCCGCGCGTCACTGTCGCGCATGCGTGCGGCGTGGCATATGTCATCCCGCCAAACCCTGGCTTTTGTGACGAAAGATGCAGCACTCATCAGTCGATGCCCCCTCGGAACCGCAATCACATTCCAGAGGGACTGACCTTCCGAAAAGGTATACTATGGGAATTTGAACTTGACGATCGTTCAGGCGTAATGTGGCAGGTCCGGCTTGCTTTACCCGGTGGGATACACGTTGGAAGTGAATCATTTGTATTGGATGATCGTCGATATCGTCAGGCTTCGTGAGTAATGCTTAGTACATGACTTCTTTCGCTCACCCTGATGGTCACGGACGGTCTTTGACATCAGAAGACACGTGTACTCATGTCAATGCACCTTCACCTTCATCCTCCTCCACCGTCTAGGGAGAAGATTTCTACCTACATATGGTGACAGAGTGAAGGATAGTAGGGTAAGCGGAAACACCTGATAACCGAACACGGTGAACGCCTCTTGTGCGTTCTTCGTCTTAAGGAACCAAAGGACGCTCGAGAAAACGTTATAAACTAGGAAGATTAACCCGCCAAACAAAACCACAGATATTCCGTCCGACCTCTCTGTTATCTCTAAGCCCCGCCCGTAGACTGGTCTTCGCTTATCAGCAAGCTGATTCAGAGAGCTCTGGCCAAATTTCTTGGGGATTCGGTCGCACAGGTCTGATTCGTGATACCGCTCTAGATGAAGGTCGTCTGTGTATCTACTACCGGAGTTCTCCATCATATAAGCGAGGTGAGAGGCTGTCGGTGAGGGCGGAGCGGAATGCTCTTCGATCTCCACAGTCGGACAATCGGGGTTCTGAACGGTGAATCTGACGAAGTTCACAGTATAGATATCATAGAAGGGCAAGGCGAATCTCCAATGGTGTCGTATAGCAGCATCCATATACCGACGATGGAGTTCTTCTACCAAGCTTCCCTCTGTCTTGAACTTTGAGAGGTCGACTTCAACTAGTATTGTGTCCTTTTTCCATAGCGTTATGCAAAGTTCAAGAGTAGGATTATCCAGAAAGCGGGCGAGATCGGAGTCGATTCTATTAATGTTGTCGAGTGCTTGCGACGCCGACGGACGACGATCGGGCTCCGTTGTGAGCATGTCCTGAACCAGTCCCCTGAACTTACTGCGGAAGAATCCCAAGCCAGGACCACCCAGGCCAACAGACTCCACATCTTGATGTTGGAGCAGATCGTTCACGCCATTCACCTGATTCGCGAACCGGCAATCTCCAGTCTGCAGCCCTGCCTTGTACACCTTTTGAAGGCTCGGCCAGGGTCTGAGAATGCTTTCTATCAAAGCGAAGCAACAACCCAGAGAGAAGACATCAGAAGCCAGGGTCGCATTTCTGCACTTGACTTTCGAATTTTCATTTTTGATTTGCTCTGGTGCCAGCCACTGGTATGTCCCGTTGTTTGCCGTTGTAGCGCCGTGTATGTGCTCCTTGCTAATACCGAGATCGATGATGATAGCACGAACCTCTGGCTCCCCAGAACTGTGGAAGTCGGTATGAAGGACGATGTTATCGGGCTTTATGTCCTTGTGCCTGATAGGACCAAACCCGGGGTGATCGCTATGAAGGTAGGCGAGGCCACTCAAGCACTGTCGCACGATGCTCGGCCAAGGGTCCAATATCTGAGGTTTGAACCAGGGGCACAACTTGGAATGACCGTCATTACTAGCAAAATCTTGTATGAACTGTTCAAATGACAACTGCGCCCATGGCTTCGTCACGAGATAGATGTTGTGTGCCCAATTTGGATGATTGATGATGTACGCCTCCTCGAGCTGCACAATGTTCCGATGCTGACATTGTCGCAGGAACTTGATTTCTTGAGCAATCTCTTTTTGGTGTTCGGGGGACCTGATTTCGATTCGCTTGCTCGCGTAAACTTGCTGCTCGCCGATGAGCGGTATTCCCGAAGAACGGGTAGCTCGAGAAACGGTTCCGTATCCCCCAGTGGAGGGGGGACCTTTTGATCTGTCTTCCTTGTATGGAACATCTCTTTCAGCCTTGTATATGAGCACTCCTGCTGAGCGGAGATCTTCGAACCAGGCCATTGCTCTGAATTAGGATGGCCGAAGATCAGCTAGTCATCGCTGGTGAGTATCGCGATGTTGAAGACGTGGTGAGCGGGGTCTACACGCTGGAAGCCCAAGGCAGCAGCCTACTTTGTGTGGAAGCTCACCGGCGCGCCACTCCTGCAATCAAAGCAAGCGATCGACATCATCATGCTTTTGTGGCTGATCGCGTTGGCTGCGATTGGTGGTTGCTCCGGTTAAACGAACCAACCGGATTGGCAAGGCTGAATGGATTGGCGTGCGACAACAGACACAAGGCTGTCTGAGAAGCAAGAGTAAACCGCAAAAATGCGAACATCACAAATGATGTGAGCTAGCAATAAAGATAGTTAAAAAATACGTCTAACATAGTCATGACTTTCATACTGAACGCCACCTCAACTCAACGATCCGGATCAGACTCCCCAATCTCCCCACGCGGCTTCCTCCTCCCTTTCCCTTTCTTCTTGGCTCCTTCAGCCTGCAACGCCGTCTTGTCAGCAGCAGCAGCGTTCGCCCTCTCCCTCCTCTCAACAGCCGCCTTGATCTTCTCCGCCTTCTCCTCCCTCTCCTTCCCCAACCAATCAAACACACCCTCCACATCCGTAAACTGCATAAACCCACCCTCCCTCCACGCATCCCCATGTACCTTCTTCCCCGTCTCATTATCCATCTCAGCAGCCTTTTGCGAACTGAGCGCCCGTCCCCAACGACAGTATACCAACCCCTGCGTAAGTACTCTTACGCGGACACCCATATCCTTCCACTCCCCCCTCTCATAAACCGGATCGCTGAGCGTAGACGAACCAACCTCCCACCCACCTTTCCGATACGCAGTCACACCATTGAAACACAAGATCTGCGTCAACGCCGTATCACCCCTCGCACGCTTCTTCTCCGTTTCACTCAACGCATCACGCCGCTCCTGTTCTTTCACCCCGACGTCTTCGTACTTATTCCGCATATTACGTTGGCGCATAGAAGGGTCGTTCCAACACTCCATAACCGAGCTATCGTAGTTATCTTCTTTGAAGAGCGGGACGTGGTGGTATGCTGTGTGCGGGTCGAGGTGCATGTAAAGGGAGAGGAGGCCGGCGGAAACGGTGAGGTGGCGGAGGTCCGGGAAGACGGTTTTGAGTGAAGGAGGTGGGATGGGGAGGGGTGTGGAGGCGGGGGAGGTAGGTGGGTGAGCTAGGGTGAGGAGGGGCGAGAGGTGTATCCATAGTGCTCCGATGATGGTGTTGACGTGGGCGTTGAAGTTGTAAGGGAGGGATGTGGGTGTGGGGAGGTGGGCGAGGATTGTGGATGCGTAGGCGGCGTTGCGGGTGAAACCTGTTTATTGGGTTAGTTCTCAATCCCCGTCTCTCTGGTTCTCGTTCTCGTTCCCCGCCCAGATCGATGAAATAGTTGACTCACCGTCCGAGTCCTTCATCTCCCTCTGCACCGCCGCTACAGCCCTGACCCCCTCTTCTGTCCCCCCGAAGAATACATGCTGCAACACCTGCTCACTTAACACATTCCCTATCATCCCACACACCAGCGCTTGCATCTTGTCTTTGTTGACGAAAAGATCGTGCCACCCCCGCAGTCCACTCGGCCCTGCACTGGCCACACAATTAATCAGCTTTGCTGTCTCTGGTGTTAAACTCTCGAAGAAATCTTTGTGCACGAATCTGTCGCCGTCGGCGGTCATGGTCGTATGCCTGGCATGCGCACCCTTCGAAAAATATTTCTCAGCAAACTCCTCGACAGCGCTCATGAGTCCCCACAGCCCATCCCTTATCTCCGCGTCGCGGAAGGCGTACAGTGGTTCTGACGGTAGTTCTGCGCGGATACGGTGGGGTGAAGAGAGGAGTTCGCGGGCGCGTAGGTTGGGGTTTGTGGACCACCTCTCTTCTGGCGTTTTTCCTGGCCAGCTTGGTGGGTATTCGAAGCCTGGGGGGTGAGTGGTGGTTATGGGTGGGGTCATGGTGCGTTGGGATGGTTGTGGTCGTGGCTGTGTGGGTGGTGGTGGTGTGATGGTTGGTGTGATGATGGGTTTGGCGGATGGAGATGAGGGTGAAGGTCTAGTTGGTGTAGGCCGTGTGGTAGTGGTCATTAATCTACCAGGCCCATTTCGTGGTCTAGGTTGTTTGCCAACAGGAATATGTTTGAGTCTGTCCACTTCTACTTCGATCTCGCCAGTACTAGTCATGTCCGGTCCGGCCGACGAAGTGGTGGGAGAAAACGATAGTTGCAAGTCGTCGCCACTGCTAGACCAATCTATTTCATCGATCGCTTCGTTTTCGTCGTTCTCGGTCTCGCTGCCTGTGCATATTGATGACGACGGCGATGGCGATATCGCTACATGCGTGCTTGTACCAACAAGCGTCTTCCCCGCTGAAACGTGCGTTTCTGGCCGACCGGGACTATGTGTTTCTAGAGCAGTGTACAAATCGCGCGAAAGTTTGCGCACGGATTTGGGAGTCGCATACAGTCGGGCATCGTCGTCATCTCCATCATCATCCTCATCCTCAATGTAAACGTCAACTTCAACTCCAGCTTCGTCCTGAAGCTGGTGCGCAGCCGCTTCCTCCTCATCCAGCTCCTTCTCATCCAGCTCATACCCATTATCACCACTCACCGCCACCGCCCCCGCCCCAGCATAAACAGCGTTCTGGTATTCCTCCGGATCATACGCGTCTCTCTTCCTCTTCCCACCCGAGCGTGAGGAAGGCGTGTCTGCGACATTGCCATTGCGCTTCTTGATCGGTGGGGGTTTGGCGGGCGAACTAAAGAGGTTGTGAAGGAACGACATCGCGCGCGATGGTGGTTACGTAGTGTGGTGAGGATGCGCGCTGTGCTTAGTATGGTAGGTCAGCGTTCCGGAGGAGTCTTGCATGATGCGCTGACTTGCGTCACCGGCTCTTGTATGCCCATGGTGGTCGCTTTGTCTTTGTTGGTACGCGACCGCATGCGGTAGTTTGTGGGAGCGTGCAGCCGGATGGAGGATTGTGGTTGTTTTGCGCGGGAGGGACAAAGACACCAAGAATTGTTGCTATGGTATCTTTGTGGTGCAGCGCAACAGTGGGTGTCTTTGATGTGGTGATTGTCTATTGTGTCGCGCAATAAGAGTGAGGTCCGGTGGGGGTAGATGCATGCGTCGCATCGTCCCGGACACCTCATCCAGCTATGAGGTTAGCAGAAGAAACGCACGAAGGAACCATGAATCTTGTAGGAGGAAGAACCACTATCATTACCTCAGTGTAGAGTAAAACCCGCTATGCTAGATACGCCTGGCTCGATAAGTAACTGTAGAGCGATGATGCAAGGGAACGCTAGATGACAACAGTAGACAAGGAAACTTGAATTGAGTTTATGACTTGGGTGGTGGTGTAAAGTTCTTGTAGAAACAAGAACATAACGTGCTCTCAATCTGAGGCTTGAGCCTGACGTCGTCGCCTGACGAGCTCGTGCAAGCTGGTACTCCTTGTCCACCTGCTACGCTTTGTTCGATCTTGACGGCTATTTCACGTTAGTTGTTGTACGCAATGTGAGAGTTGCCAGTGGTGCTTACCGTATGGCCACGCCTTGTTAGCGACCTTTCCAACTGCGATTGTGTCGTCTGGGTACGTCTGCTGCATCTTGGTGTATAAGATGCCCTGCATGTTTGTCGCACCGTAGTCGCACTCAAAGTCGCCTCTCTTTCCTCCAAGGCTTCCCGTCATGTTGACAGTCTTGGACCGCGTGATCTGGAACCGGTATCGCTCCGTGTCCTTCCCTGCGTCCAGCAACTCGAGGTCCTCGTTCTGGAATGTGGTGTCGAATGTGTCGTCCTGCTTGCCTGAAGAAATCTTCCAAGACCCTGCAGATCCGCTGATGTCCCAGTTCAGAATGGTGAGAGCTTTCTGTTTGTCGTCGTAGTAGTTTGTGTTTGGCGGGCATGTCCAGGTGTCTGCGTCTGAGGTGCAGTCTGTTGTGACGGTGTCGAGGAAGAGGACGAAGGACCAGCTTCCGACGGGGAAGTTCGAGGGGACAGCGGAGGGTGTGGAGGTGGTGACTGCAGATGGGGGATCGTCGTCGGTCGTGGAGGGAGAGTTGGAGTCGGAGTTGGACGCGGGCTTGCTATCGGTGCCTGCTGGTGTCGTTGAGCCGTCTGTGTTCGCCGCGGGTGCGCTGCTGTGTAATTGTCAGCCCGTATTCCCTCCATCAAGATTAGCATGAAGTTGGCCTACCTCTTTGAGTCCTTCTTCAGTCCCATGGCAAGTCCAACGCCCAATGCCACGATCAGCGCAATGATCAGGGCGGCGACCACTGCAAGCTTCTTCCATCCCCAGGCAGCACATCCTCTCTGTCTCCGTTGCCGTACGTGTCCAAACTTCTCCTCATCCCGATCACTCCACACACTGACACTGAGATTGCTCCCATTGTGCATGTCCTCGCTGCTTTCCCTCGGCGTGAGTAACCGGCCACCCGTCAAGACCGATTGGATGAAGCCGGGCTTCTTCTCGACCCTGTGGTGTTGTACTGGTCCGACATGCTGATGCGATGGGTCGTTGCAGAATGTGCTTTCGGTGGTGACGCTGATTTCGGCGGCCTTGGACGAGGCTGACTTGCCTCGTTTGGCGTCGAGGATTACGGAGAGACGCTGGCCAGCCGGCGTTGAGATGCGCTTTGCCGGCCGGTCGTCACCGATCTCGTAGTGTGCCTTTGCGCGCTTGGAGCGATAGAAGTTCATTGGATCGGAGGCTGTGGGCTATATTGCTTGTGACTCGCGGTGTATGGTGTTCTGTGTGTCAAAAGAAAGCGTCCAAGTTCTCCTGACTGCAATGGCTATCGCTCTGCGGGTGGCTTGCCGCTATATCGCGCTATAGCCTGGGAGCGTAGGGATGCCGATGACGAAGACAATGGGGGTAGGGAGGTGAGAGGAAGATAACAGGAGCTTCCCTCTCCCCGGCTGTCAGGCGCGACGCACCCGCCTGAGCCATGACAGCTCTCGAAAGTTTGTACGAGACGGAATCTTGTTGACATGATCCTCCTCAGGCCTCGAGCGTATGGGGCCTGCGCGATATCACGCGCTAGCGACCGTTATAGTATCGAAGTAAACTCCAACGGGCTAGAGGGTCACCCCATTCTCCTGACCATCACTCATGGAGCTGGTTCTCGGTGGAGCCGCACGGTGCTGCGTCGGGAACGGGTGCGCCATGCATGGGCAGATCATGAGAGCTTCGCGGGAGCTTTTATGCAGACAGGATGATGGCGTGCTTGACATCTGGGGTTCAAAAGAAAGAGAGTGCCTTCCGCGGATCTCGATGCATTGCAGTCGTTGCAAGGTGACGTCGCACGAGTGAAGTTTGTTGATAGTACCGTTGGTAGCTTGTTTCGCGGGCGGTGTTTGTTTTGCTGAGTGATCAGGGGTCGCGCGCACGTCGCTAAATTCGGAGCCTGTTCCTGCATTCGGCCCAAGGATCCGGGTCCGAGGGATTTTGCTGCCAAGCCTCGAGCTGCACCTCACTCGACTTTCTTTCACGTGCCTGCGTGTATACACCGTGACAGTTACAAGCGGCGATAATCAACACGCCGAAGAAGATATCTGGGTAGGTGTTTGTTACGAGGCTGTGATGTCTGATGAGGAGCGACGCTAGTGTCGAACGCGCTTTCCTCACGCGCTCTCGCTCTCACCGCGCGCTTCACCGACGCGTCACGAACGCGACTGCCTCAATCATGCTCTCGCCTACCGTGACGTTTGCACACCTGCGCGCACTTCACTCGAAAATCTCTGCTCCAACCTCACCTGCTTTGCCGTGCAGCAACTCCCTGGCGCCCAAAGCGAGACCCCAGAGCAAACTGCTCAAGCTGTCTAACATCTCGCAAGCCACCACTGCTAGTCACCATGTCACCCCGCGTAACGGTCCGCCTTGTCCCCGGTTGCTCTGACGGTGATCCTCTTCATGTCCCGCCTCCAGGAGCTCATACTCAACTCGATCCACCCACTCTGTACCTGGAAAAGATTGGTCAACAATGGATGGAGAGTCGAGGTGAGGCTAAGCCCGGTGTACAGTACTCGCTGGAAGCTCTTCCCTTTGGTTATACTCTTTGGCATCGCCCGCGACCATCCAAACCGAGCCATTTCGACAAATACCTATATGGCCATCCTGGAAAAAAGGCATTCGACTCGCCGAATCGATTCTTTCCACATTTCCTGCATCTGATGAACAACAACGGCAACAGCATTGGCTGTCCATGTACGCTCTGCAGCGGAAGTGCTGGCGTGCTTCCAAAGACTTCAGCCAACAGCTCGCAAGTACGCAGCTCCAGCGGGGCGTCTTCCCGAAAGGTATCCAGCTCGTCTGCTTCTCTGTCTCTGCCAAGCCGGCCTTCCAGTGCCCACAGCGTTCAATCGCTCCCAGTTGCACCGCCGCCGCCTAGTCTGGCACCACAGCACAAAGGTCGGCCAAAGAAGATAACTCCCGGTCTAGACACGACGAACGTGGACAGCGAGGGCACTCCCGACGTCTACAGGAATCTCATCGATAAGCTTCGCCGGCATCGCGATGTGGACGAACCCATCCTCGAGCCACTGAGCCCAGACTGGCGAGCGGAGCAAGAACATCTTCCCAAATTCCTCAATGACGTCAAGGCACAAGATCAATGGGTTCCACGAATTGGAGACATTGTCTTGTATATACGCAACATGCCGGATACCGTTGAGATAGTTCAAGACAACGCCACTGGTGAGCTCCAGCTGTACGATGAGCGCCGCAAGCAGCATCTGGGTGGTCCACGATGGGCGGCAGGCCTTGTCACTGAGCCGGCTACTGGTACTACGGTCGCCGAGCTCGCCTCTACTCAGGAGCGCAATGTGTCCAGCATAGGCGTACGCGTCGAACCGATCCCCAACCCGAACGAGTCGGACAAGTCGGTCTCCAAGAGGCACAAGTACGTCTTGTTGCGACAAACGAGTCCGTTCATGATGTGGAGAGACCTCCTGCGCCGCATTCCTCAAGAAGACTGGCATCATACCGTCAAGAACGCTCTCGCACTAATGTCGACGCTCTCTCTTATGGGCAAGTATCGCTTCCGAGGGACCTGGCCCAACGCGAGCATATACTGCCACGGCATCTACGTTGGCGCTGAGATGCTCGCTGTTGGGGACACAGTTCGTCTCCTTCCCAACAAGCAGTCTGGTCAGTCTGGCTGTACGGATGTCATGAGCATCACATCAATTCGATTGAAGTTGACCAATTTGGACAAGGCCTCCGACAATGACTATGATGAGGGAAGGCCATACAACTCCGAGATATGGATCTATGGCTCAGCGTACACTAGCGATGGTTCTCGATCCAACAAGCTGTGGGTTTCCGAGCAAAACGTCGAGCCTCCGCGGGTTGCAAACGACTATGCGGACTGGTACCCACTACACCCAGCTGACAAAGAGCTTGCCATTCCCTACTCGCGCGTCCTCGGTCGCCTGCATGAGCGCGATGCCATGGCCTACTTCCTTAAGTCCGACGATGACAATCTTCCAGGACTCGACGTTGGCCGGCAATCTGTAGTAGAGGCGCGCGCCTTTGCTCGGAAACACGACAATCGTATAGCAGCAGAGTCTGATGCCACCTGGTACTGGGGAGACGACCGGGCCGACGCCCTGAACCTCCGCACTATCAACGGTCTCGATGTGTCGCGATATGACCTGGATCGCGACGTCAAAGACCTCCGCTGCAAGTACCGCCAACTAGATGGTATCGCCAAAGGAGATGCGAAACCTACAGGTCAAGATATGCTGAGCAAAGGGCTCCGCGGCTTCATGGCACCCGCCTTGCCACTCCGTACGAGCGGCGCGAAGGTACCAAGCGAAAGCGGAAGCTCGATGGCAAGCGAAAGCTACGCGTCGCGAAAGCGCACTCATATTGTCGACCTAGATGACGAGGACGATACCGAGGAGGACGACATTGACGAAGAGATACGAGAGCGCACCAAGATTGTGCAAGATGACCACCAAGGTCCGATGAAGAAGAAGGCGAAGGTGATGGTTATTATTGACTGAAGAGCGACTGGGCGCATATGAACCCGACGGACATGGTCCGGCACGAGCTACATGGTACGAACATGATATATGGCATATGCCCGTTATGGCGAGAGAAATTATGACACAGCAGATTCGGACACGATGGCGGAGACGATAGCCGAACTTTCTTTTCACGACGACGGGAGGATTACTGTTGATACCCATTACTGCGATATAATCGAGTAATTGCATGTTCATGTACTGTACCAGATTCCCACGAGATTACGGCAGATGCCAATACTGGCCTATTAGCGGCTACAATACCAACATATGATGAATACCGTCGTGTGCCATCCACATTGATAATATACTTACTGAGCCACCCAAAGCGCATACTTAACCCCAGTCAAAGGCACTTGCTATAATTTGTTGAACTTCGGCGCGAATGAAAGCAGCGGGCAGGTTTGAGGCGTCGTAACCAACAGGTGGTACAGGTGGTACAGGTGAAGTTGACCACCCGGTGGTCCCCGCCCTCAGTTTCAAAAGAGTCATGTGTATGATTCACGAAAGTGACTCATGCGTGCTTTAAAACTCGAGGATAGTGTGCTACAGTATCTTCATTACACGACATGGACGACACCAAAATCTTCGATGTGGCTAGTGAATGCGACAGGCTCTTTCGAGAGACGTTCCCCGAGAACATGCTGCCTCCGGATGCCCAGATGCCACTATACCGCGCCCTTGCCCATTGCCGGTCACGATTCGATATGTGGGCTGGCTACACGAATGCAATGGAAGACGGTGAGGATTCTTTGGACAAACAACTTGAGTTCAGTCCTGCAGATAACCTGCAGATTGTGATCAGTATGCTGGAATTGATAAAACTGGCCCTTGAACAAGGTAAGATACTCTATTGCATGACTATTCCAGTTGTAACTGACATAAAAAGACCTGATATCTGGCTGTAACGCGCATGGGAGGAGTGTAACGCGATCCGAATAACTTCAGGCTGCGAAGTACGGCGTGCTGCGAGTGATCCCCCCATCGCTGACACTAACATGTCTGACCGCCATTCATGAGGCTATGGATAGGCTGGAACGGGCGGCAGACACAAAAGTAAGGGACAAAGATGGCTTCGACAGAGTTGCGGCTGCGGTCGTAAAAGGCGCATACCCTGATCTGCCCGAGACACTAGTCCAACAGCTAGGTTCATCTATCGCACGCAGACGTGCTCGCCTACTCCGTCAGAGTAAGCAGCAGCAAGAGCTTGACCTCCAAGGAAAACAGGGTGATGATGCACAGGCTGTGGCGGCCGAGGACACCCAAAGTGTTGCGCAGCCACAAGATCAGATGGTGGCTGCTCTGGACAAGTTGTCTGTCACCGAGCATTCAGTCTTGAAGCCGAAGAAGCTATCGGCTGATGCTTTGACTCAGCAGAAGGTCGGGTCTGACACCACTACAGCATCCTCAGCAGGCCAATCATATCCTTACCCGGAACCTCCAACGCCATTAGAAGGTGTCGATCACGTCCGGTGCAATTGGTGCTTTAAACAAATCAGAGCTGGGGATCCTCAGCGTAGAGGATGGTGGGAGTATGTTGCCCATGAAAGCATCGCGTATTGTCTGGATGCAAGCTTACGATAAGCAGATCACACTTCGACCAAGACTTACAGCCCTACACATGCATCTCCGAAAGTTGTCAGAAGCCACCATTATACTTCGCTAGCATGTTTAGATGGCAGGAACACATGAAAGAGATGCATACCGACTATTGGACGGAAAGTATCCACAGATCCATGGTCTGGTACTGCAACCTGCATCTAGACGAGGAAGGACATACAACGCTCAAGACATTCCAGGGTGAAGAATCTCTGCGCCAGCATCTGAAGGTTGACCATAGAGATCTTTCGTCGTTGGAGATTGATACTAAGGTCCGACGGAACACTAAGCGCCTATCTCGATCGCGGGATAGTTGCTTGTTCTGCGGCTTCGACGCCGGCGCCAAAGTAGAGACAGACCGCGAATGTGGAGCAGTAATGGAGTCGAGCACCAGGTATGCTAGGCTTAGAGAACAGAAGGCTAGAGATTTGATTAGACTAGAACTCTGGAACCACATTGCCCAGCATCTCAAGAGTCTAGCTTTCATATCGCTGAGATGGTGCGAAGATGAGAAGGTCGATGCCGAGGGGAGTGATGTAAAGACGAATGCTGCGTCGAGTGGAGGATCTAGCGAAGATGAGGAAGCGCCATCGGTGGCGGGGTAGTGGACTCGGTCACACTAGGCCTATCAGACAGCCTTCAATATAGTATTACATGAGCACTGAGCGTCGATGCCCGCTTGAATATTAATTGCGAAAGTCGAGGTAGAGGATAATTGCGGCTGACGATTAGGCCGATACGTACGATAGCGCGATTACTCAACATCTTGTTCCGAGGTTCCGAGGAACGCGTTGCGCGTCTTCCCCGCATCGGAGCTAATCATGCAACCAGCACCAACCCTACGAGCTATGCACAACAAGCTTTCGGTAGTAGATAACTTGCTACCCATCTCCACGACAATATGTGAGGGCAAGTGACTGAACATCACATCCGACAAGCCGTCTGCCGCTCCAACATCACCACCATGTCCAAGAACCCCACCAACAAACCCGTCATCGCCGTCGTAGGCGCAGGCCCAGGCATCGGCGAAGCAGTAGCCCACCGCTTCGCCTCCGAAGGCTTCGTCGTCGCGCTCCTTGCGCGAACAGAAGAAGCGCTACAAACCATGGCCGCGAACATCAACAGCGACGTGGGCACCAACACAGCGCACTACTACATCACAGACCTACGCGTCGAAGACACCGTAACCTCATCGTTCAAGCGCATCCGCGAAGAGCTCGGTCCTGTCAACGTGCTTGTCTACAATGCCGGTGCGCGCCGCGTAAACGGGCGTTCGCTCATTGATACCACGTCGGAGGAATTCGAGAACTTCACCAAGATCAATCTTTTCGGCGCGTTTTGGGCGAGCAAGCTTGTCATCCCTGATATGCTTGCCGCAGGCAAGGGGACCATCCTCTTCACAAGTGCGACGGGCGCGTTGCGAGGTATGCCGGGCCTGGCATCGTTCTCGCCGGGCAAATTTGGGCTGCGCTCGTTGTGTCAGGTTATTACGCGCGAGTATCAGGCGAAGGGTATTCATGCCGTTAATATCATTGTGGATGGGCCGGTTGATGGGAAGTTGATTGGGGGTGTGATGAAGAGGCAGTGGGAGCGGACTGGGCAGACAGATAAGGCGGCCGATGTGGACAGCCATCTTGTTCAACCGAGGGATTTGGCGCATACGTACTGGTTCTTGCATGCGCAGCCGAGGAGTACGTGGACGCAGGAGTTGGATGTTAGGGCTATGAAGGAGACGCTATTCACCAAGCTGTAGATATGTCAAGCTGTATTGGCTGGTCTCAGTATACCTATCCAAAGACCGAATGGGATGTACGATAGAGTTCCTACATAGTTCGTTCAGAGGACTACAAATGAGCTTTCATACTCTTTCCAGCTTCTTCCGCTTTAGCCTGCTCAGCAAGTACCCTCCGCAGTATCTTGCCCGCATTGCTCTTCGGTATCGCTTCCACAAAGCGGATACCGCCCCTCAATTTCTTGTGCGGCGACACACGCTCGTTGAACCATGGAAGTAGCTCTTCCTCCAACTCCTCATCTCCCTTGTACCCTGGCGCCACGACTACATATGCTCTCGGTAACTCCGTCACCCTGGACTCACTGTAGACGCCAATGACGGCTACATCAGCGACCGCAGGGTGACCGATCAAGAGAGCTTCGAGTTGCGCCGGCGCGACCTGGAAGCCATTATACTTGATGAGCTCCTTGACGCGGTCGGTGATGTATAGATTACCATGCTCATCGAACTTTGCGACATCGCCGGTATGATACCATCCCTCCGCGTCGAAAGCCGCGGCCGTAGCTTGGGGGTTGTTGTAGTACCCTTTGAAAATATTTGGTCCTTTCAAACACAGCTCACCCTCTTCGCCTAACGCCATTCCCTTTCCATCACTCACGACTTTGGCTGACATGCTGGGCAACAAGCATCCGGATGTGCCCAACGCCGTGCTCCAGGTTTCGATGCGTTGCACGCTCACGGCGGGTGCGGCTTCAGACATGCCGTAGACCTGGAGTGTTTGAGCACCGAGCCGCTTGTGTATCGCGGTGATGATCTCGACGGGTATTGGGGCGGCAGAGGAATGCAGGTCGCACAGGGACGTGAGGTTGTACTGGTCGACAATGGAGGCCTTTGCCAGAGCGAGTGCGACGGGCGGAACGATGTAAGCGATAGTGACTTTCTCCTTGTCTACCGTCTCGCAGAATCCCCTGAGGTCAAATCCTTGCATGATGTGATTGGTCACGCCGTAGAAGATGGCGTTTAGCAGTAGTGTAGCAATTCCTGCATTCATCAGCGCATGTCTGATTGTGAACTCATTGAGCTTACCATAGATGTGATACATGGGTAGGAAGCCAATACCCGTGTCTGTTTTCCAGTTGGTGTTGTAGCCATTTGCGGTCGTAGCCTGAATGCTGTTTGCCACGACGTTCTCATGCGTCAGCATGACACCCTTTGGCTCGCCAGTGGTTCCAGAAGAGTACACCAGGTACGCCAGATCTTCTTTGGGATCGATTTTGACTCGATTCATGCTGACTGACGCGCTCTTCAGAGACGAGAAGTGCCGAACGGATCCCGATGTCTTGCCATCTCCGACTAGGAGTATCCGATCCAGAGGAAGGCCGACTTTCGATGCTGCCTTGCAAGCGACCTCAAGACATACCACATTTGTCAACAGTCCCTTGGCTTTCGAGGATGTCAACTGAGACACCAGCTCATCGACGGTATACATATAGTTTAGAGGACACACGACACCTCCAGCAAGTAAGACGCCGAATGTAGCAGGCGCGACATCGATATCATTCGGCGTCATGATTGCCAAAACATCGCCTTTGCGCCATTGCCATTGCTCCTGGAGGCCCTTCCCGAACGACTCCGCGGTGGACCGTAAATCAGCATATGTGAGCTTTCGGCCGCTGGCAACGTCTACGAAGAGCACTGTTATCGTGTTAGACGCCGCTCGATAGATGTAAATGAAGGCATACCATGATCATCCGGGTACTCGCGATCCGGTCGCTCGAGAAAATATGTCCATACATCGACGGCGGGTATGGTAATGGGCGGGTATGACGACTCAGTCGGCATTGTTAGCAGTGTATTATTAGCAGTGTAGCAGAAATGACTGATTATGCTGCAGCGTTCAGCTCGAAATAGATGTTATATTTCACATCGACGTGATCGCCATTGAAGTAGCGCATTCAAATATTAGGGCTTGGTACTTCAATGGCTACGTCCGTAACACGAACGCGTCAGCGGCGATCGCATGTGATTAGTCGTGGGTACCCAAGTCGGCACCGTGAGACCTCGGGAGAAACCATTGACATGGGCCCAGCGCTCAAGGCGGGCAAAATTCCCTCCGCCCGCACACAGGCATTTGGAGCCTGCGAGAGCATGATATCACGCGATAGCTGTAATCCTGAGCCCCTAGGTGCTGGCTCGGTTGAGCTCATACAAGCGGAATCGTGAGTTCGGGTGGGAGGCGATCGTCTTTCCCTGCGGAGGAGAGTTCAGGCTGTAGCTTGAGCTGAGGACGCGCACATTAGTGCTGTTATGGTTGGTGAAGGTAGCAACGAGTTCGGCGGGATCGGAAGCTGGGAAAGCGCGCCAACCGAAAGCAGACTAGGCTGTCATCACGTGCCCTCGGCAGATCTCCGCGAAGTTTGGCTTGCGCCAACAACGCGAGAAGACATCACACTCTTCACATGCACGAAACAACATCACATATACGACATCGGGGATCGTAAATGACTTCCTTTTTTTTCTTCCTTCATTCATGATTCATCGCCGTTGCGTCTAGCAGGCCGACGCGCGCGTGGTCTCCGACGCGTCAAACTCCGCAACGGCTCGGCAGCCACGCCAAAAAGACACCGAAAACACCACACGCAACTTTTTGGAATTCCTATGTCGTCTCCATGCTGACTTCCTTGAAGGCTTGCCCTTCACCGGCCATGTATTCATTGCTCTCTTGCCGCGTTTTTCTCACTCTGGATCAGTGCCTCCTCGCCGGCAGCCGCAGCCTCTAGCATGCGTGAATCTTCTTCGCCGGTCCGCCCTCGTCGACTTCTGCGTCCATTGTGTCCTTGCGCTTGGCTGAAGCTTCCTCGTTACCATCTGCTACGAACAAGTCGCCCTCGTGGTCAGACGCATCTGTTGCACCGTCGCTGTCTTTCATGGTCGACTCATCGCCTTCTTCTTTTTCATCGTCGGACGTGTGCCTGGCAATCGCTCTCAGAGCTCGGACAAGTGACGAGAGACCCTCGTCCCGACCCCTGTTCTCGAATGTCTTGTACTCTGTCGCATAGCCGCAATACAGGAGCACGAACCTGAGAAGTGCTTTCATGTTGAGGGTGAACGGCGAGATCATGCCTCTGTCGCTGAGCCTGCCGAATAATCCGTCACCCTTGATGATCTTCGCATTCTTGACGTAGCCATTACGCGGAGAGTCTGCGGTTGTTGAGTAGTATAGACCGATCATCTTTCTGATAGCGTCGTTCTTTTGCGCCGTTTTATAGTTTGAGATAGTGGGCTGGTCTGCGCGCTCGTCAAGCCAAAGTACGTCACCGGTCTTCCTGGACCTCTTCGTTACGGCATAGCCGACCTTGAGCGCGTATTGACCGGGACGGTGCTCTCGAACTTCGAACTCATCAGGAGCCGAAAACTTGGCCAATGCATCCGGGCAAGACTGCTGGAGTGTTGCAAGCACTTGCTCTTTGGTGAAAGCTTTTGAGCCCTCCGTTACATTGTATTTTGTGCTCTGCGCGAAGTAACGTCTGGACTCGTTGTATCCCCACCTCGGCTCAAATGGACTGTCCATTGCTGATCGACGCTGTCGGTGATTGGCTTGGGTTATTGGTATGGAGAAAAGTCGTGTGTAGCGTAGGAGAGATGGGGTTACGATAGTTCAAATACCCTTTAGGCATCAAGGTTTTGGTGAGTACTAGTAGGTATCGACACTTCCACGTGGCAGGTAAGACTGCCTTCACGTCGATAACACGATCGTACTGTCGATCTCGGGATTGAGGCTATCAGGTCTCGCAGACGTCGATCGTCCGTACTACTGGCTTCGCAACTTTCCGTACAGCCTCTTTGACAGAGTTGCCAACCGCCTCCCAGTGCTCGCCGAGCCAAGTCAGGTACAAGTCAAGGTCCGTGTGGTGCAGTCCCGGAACCTCGTGCAGCAGCTTTCGGACAAAGTCACGAATATCGCCACCTTCACTACTACCAAACAACGCTGCGTGCTCGGCCTGATACATCGCAGACTTGCACGCATACATGCCGTAACCGTCTGCTCCAGTCGCCTTGATCATTGCGTCGGCGTAGATCTCACGATACGCCTGTAGTGACGATGGAGAGTGCGGCGCATCGAGAACTTCGTACCCTGGCATCCAGTCTAATGTCAAGAACTTTGGAAGGGAAGCGTAGCCGAGAGAGCGTGGGGCGGTGGAAGCGCGCTCCCAGTCGATGATACCGGTTACTTCGCCGGTGTTTGGGTCGCAGAAGACGTTCCGAAGGTTGAGGTCGTCGTGACGGAGTACGAAGGTCTCCTCGCTATCCCCGGGCTTGACAGATTTCGCGAAAGCATCGCTTCGGAACAATGCATCTAGGATTCCATGGATGACGCCGGGCCTTCCTTTATGTACCTCGCACGGCCAGGCCTCAAGCAGACCATCCGTGTAAAGCTCCAGGCTTGAGTCGTACACTGGCTTCTCAGTAAGAGCCTTTTTAGTGGCCAGATCTTCGGCGGTCAAATCTGCGGCGGTTAAATCTGGGTCGATATTCCACTCCCAAAGCGAACCAATAGCAGGCGTTCCGTTTGCGTCAACAGTGTCAAAGTCCAACGCGCCAATCTTGTCGAACTCAAGATGACGCAGCTCGGCCATGGCTTGGGCCAGTGAACGAAGTATGCGCTCACGCTTTGACGCCAGGTCCTTGGAAGGAAAGTCGACTGTGTCCCGATCCCAGTCTTTATGAATGGGGTGAGCGTCGTGCCAGACTTCGGACGCGGATCTGCCTGTGCAGGCCTTCATCAAGATGTAAGGCGCACCTAACGTATTATCCAGCGTGTCGTCGTAGGCCACAACCTCAGGAACGGGACATTTGGTACGCTCGCCAATGAACTTGATAGTGCCAAACTCCGAACGCATCATGTATGCATCTTGCTTCTGCCAGCGAGCGGCAGTGCCGACGCAAGGAATCTTGACCACATATTCACCGTCGTTAGAACTATTGATAACCTGGTATATCCGAACGAGGTTGTAGCCACCCTCAAATTCGCCGCGGAAAAGGTAGTCATCTGCGCAGTACTCGGCGGAGGGGTTGAGATGGTGCCAAAGGGTTTTCTGGAAGCTCGAATGGTCGAGCGCACGGAGTGGCTCCCAGTCCGCGCGATCAAGCGCTTCGCCATCAGAGCACGCGCTTGTTAGAGAAGACGTTATCGAGCCGTCCGACTTGGGTGTAGATGATTTGTAGTCTTCAACCTCCTCGTCAGAGTTCGTACCGCTTGGCGAGACAGCCTTTTCGCGCTGGATGACGGTGACGACTGCGGATTCAACGACACTCGTGGAGTCGTCATTGTCGCAGGTACGCTCAACTACTTTGAGCCCACTTTCCTCACGATCCGTGGCGTTTTCACGCGAAGGCAACCGCCGAGATAGCTCGGGCGGCGTTTCCATGATGGTGCAAATACCAGAGATCACGTTGAGGCTTGGTAGCAAACCTGCAGTCTCTTGTGAAGCAACGACTTCGTGCGACACATCTGCCTGCTCTAGATTTCTGTTCTTGCGCTGGCGGGCGAAGCGAGCTCGGAACTTCTCGTAGGCGATGGATAGTACTGTGGGTAGGTTGGCATCTTGCTTACTGGGACGATCGCGATTTTGAAGATCGTTTGCAATGTTCGGTGCAGGCGGTGTCTTGCGAAGCCTGCTCTGGGAATTTTCCTGAGGGTGCTTGGAGCTGGAGCTGAAGTCCAGACCAGGAAACAAAGACGTGAGGCTGAAATGCATGTTGACACGGATATTTGGAGGTCGTTATCGGCTGGTGTGGGCGTGGTGTTCGGTCGATTGGCAGTCAAACTACCCGTAGCAAGGTAGTGTTTCGGGGTGGAGAGAATTTATAAGGCTCGAAGAAGAGAGTACCAGCGCCAAAGTGGAGCCCGAGCTTGTCTAGCCCCGTGAAATGCGCGGCATAGTGAATGATGTACATGTTGACAGATGGAAACGAATGACCACGTAGCAAACGCTATGCAAGTATCCTATCTAAGCGAAAGGTTACAATGGTGACTCTTCCTCGCATATACAATCTCTACTATGAGCTTCCTTTTAATGCCCAGTGAATTCACGCAGCGATGTCGAGCCAGTTACCTATGCTACCAGAGTCTCCACACTTCAAAGCGGATACTAGCACAGATCATAACCGCGCATGGAATCAGCTCAGCGCAATGAATCGCTGCACTACAAGGCAGCAGTGTGATACGAATTTGCATCGGGGCTGCAAGGCCTCGATCTCTATACACTCTAGTCATACTCACTACCACCCGATATACACAAGCATACAGTTCCCCAACTTCAGTTACCCCATACATTAGCCAAGATGGTAAAACTCGCAGGAGGATGGATAGATCTTAACGAGAGATACGGAGAAATGTTCAAAGGCGACTTCAACCCCAACATCTGCAACAAGGACACCCTTAAAGTCTTGGGCCTAACACACCATTGTAAAGACTGCAAGGTTAGTACACCTTCAATCACACTCATGATACCCCTTGCATAACGAGGTCAACTTCACGGACCCGCTTACAGGCGCCTCCAACAAAGAAATGTTTCTGGCAATTGCATTTCGGTCTGTATAGCAACGCCCGTCGCTCGAGTCGAGACTGATGAGACTGAAAGCGTTCTGCGACGAGTGCGGCGAGCGCTTCACTGTCTGGTCCAGAGGGTGCGGAAAACATCCTTATAGCCACGGCTACAACATCATTTTTAAGGCTGTACGCGATGACTGGCCGGCCTCGGAGATAGAGCGTTTATTGGCGACAAGTGGTACTGTTCAGGTCGAGGACATCGCGGACCTACTCGACAACGGTGCCTCCTCCCCTGGTCCAGATCCCGAGGACGACGATGCTGCTGAGCTCGCTGGAATAGTCGCAAACGCCGATATCCGTACGAACAGCGAAGCCTTCGAAAGCCCGGCCTCTCCACAAACGACCCCAGTGCCTGAAGCCAACCCTAGCGTACAAATTGAAGGAAGTGTCGCGTCGCTTCCCCCTGTCCCCACAGGCAAGACTTTCAGAACGTCGCAATGGCTTCTCACTGGGCTCAAGGGTAAAGACGCCAAAGGCATGAGACAAGCGCGTGCGGCGACCGGAAGAAAGATACGTCGGGACACAGAAGCTGCTGCGCAGGCCGAGATAGCTGCGGATGAACGCGTGGAGGAAGCTCAAAGAGCTAAGAGAGCGGCTGAAGTAATTAAGGAAGCAGAGCAAGAGAAGGCGAGGAAGGGCAAGACTGGACATAAGCGGAAGTAGACCAACCTGGGCCACGAGTGGTTTCACCGCTCGACCTTTGGCACGCGCGTGCATGGGACACTTGGGAGTTATAGAAGAACGCGGATCAAGAAAATGAATGGATTGTGCACATAGTCAGCACCAGCTGCAGTGCTTCTGACTTAATCCACCGACTACACTTGGAGAGAATAACGGCGCGACATACAATGAACCACATCGCATTCAAAACTCAGCGTCCACCACCCGTAAGATTGCTAATCTGCGTTATGCTCATGATATTGCCAGGTCCAAATCCAGTACCACCCCACTCCATCGAGCGCAGCACCTTGCGCATCCCAATGCCACTCGCCCCTTTCGGACCTGCCCCATACCCGAACCCAGCTACCATCCTCAACTGCAGGGCGCATGCCGGAGGCGTCGATGGGGAGCCTGTAGATATCTTTCTCGGGACGGTCGTGGAGGTGGTTCCAGTCTTTTGATCGCGTGAAGGGTTCGGTACGTGCTTCTCGAGGGTCGTGAGGCGGGCCACAGCGTAGTTGGTGCTGTATTTGGTATTGGGTGGGACACCGGACTAGGCATTGGCGTGGGCTTGCAGGGCGCAGACCTTCTTGTGGTACTTCCAGTCGTTTTGTTGGCACTCGCGGCTGCAGTATGGTGTCGTCTTGCATTTATTACAACTCTGAACAGGCCCAGATTTGTTGCAAACGGCACACTTGGACGGCATGTCGATCGTGGTGCTGATCCCTTTGGATCGGAACGGTTTTGGAACGGATAGGTGGACGAAGATGGCAACGAGTACCCAGACAAGCGCGAAGTATATCAGAAAGTATGCAGCACGTTGGCAGGCTGTGAATATATACGGAAAGATGCAGAACACCATCCGTGGGGACGACGTCCACAATTTAACCGCGAAGATTAGCGCTGAGCCTAATAGCCCTGAGGCACGCTAGGTAGGAAACGAAAGCGGGCGCGAAGGTTTCATCTCGCCGCTCCACGTTCGGGTCGCCCCATTTCCACTTCATGAAAAAGAGATAGCCTGCATACTCGAACACTGAGGTCAGTACGGGCTGAGATGGATGCAGCGGTAGTACCTAGGTAGTTCGGGCCGCGAGTTCATGTGCTCTGATACTCACACAGTGCTAAGTAGGCGTGCCTTAGCTCTCCTTAACAGGAAGAAGCTCGCCGCATCCTAATCTTCTTAATTTGTCGTTCTCAACAAGGAGTACTCAGCGCTTAATAGGAGCCTTAGCACTGTACGCATAAGCAAATGAACGATTCGAGGTGTGGTCCGTGCGTAATGAGCAGCCCCGAAGCGCCCATCGTCGGCGTTAACACATGCGCCTTTTCATAATCCGTGCAGGCGCTCTTAACCCATTACGACGAGTTTTCGCGTTCCGTGATCATCATCTCGATGCGTCGTATTTGTGACATGCCTTCATTGCGTATCGAAGGATGTGCGGGGATAGACGATGGGAGGCCGGATGCGGGGAAGCTACACGCGTCTGCCTCCCCACTTACGACGTAGCTCACGATCGATAACGAACAATTACAAGAGCGCGACGACTGGATGTGTGTACTTTTGGGGGACGCCTGAGAGCTCATCATTTCATATAAATGGACGTTCTTTTCTACCTAGATGTAGTGGGAGCTTGAGATTACATTCTACCATCGCACAATACACGTCACCTCCAGCAACAACATCATGCAAAACCCATCCATAGTATTGTATGGACCGAAGAACGCAAGGATCGAAGATATCGCAGTACCAGAGGTAGTTGATCCCCACGATGTGATCGTTCGCATTAACTATGTGGGAGTTTGCGGAAGCGACGTAAGAACCACCCTTCCATCATGCCACCCCCTTTCAACAAACTAACCAACCACCCAGGTCCATTTCTGGCACTACGGCGGCATCGGCAAAATGATAGACCCCACCACCGGCATCGTAATGGGCCACGAAGCCTCCGGCATAATCCACTCCGTCGGCCCATCTGTCAAAAGCGTCAAACCGGGAGATCGCGTAGCTATCGAACCAGGCATACCATGTCGTATTTGCAAAGCGTGTAAATCTGGTGTGTACAACATGTGTCGCGATATCCGGTTTGCTGCGGCGCCAGGACCGCCTGATACGCAAGGTACGCTATCGAAGTACTTCCGCAGCGCGGAGGACTTTGTGTACAAGATTCCCGATAAGATGGGGTTGGATGAAGCGGTGCTTGTTGAGCCGCTCGCGGTCGCTGTGCATGCGGTCAAACTGGGTGATGTGAAGCCTGGCGAAACGGTCGTGGTAATGGGGAGCGGGACGATCGGGCTGTTCTGCGCAGCGGTCGCGCGTCAGTTCGGTGCGCATCGCATTATCATTGTCGATATCCTGGAAAAGAAGCTAGAGTTTGCGGCGAGCTACTTGAAGTGCGAGACCTTCCGCTCGTCCCTCGACGCAAGTCCAGAAGACAACGCCGAAACGCTACTCAAGAAGTTCGACTTGGTGGAGTATGGCATCGACACGACTGGCGGGCTTGTCGACACTGTCATCGAAGCTTCTGGTGCGACAACGAGTATCGATATGGGCATCAACCTTGTGCGCCCGGGTGGGAAGTATGTTCAGACCGGGCTTGGGAAGCCGAAGATCGAATTTCCGATTGTGGCTATGGGCCAGAAAGAACTCATGGTGAGGGGGTGCTTCAGATATGGTGCCGGGGATTACGAGCTTGCGGTAGGGTTCTTAGAGAAGGGATTGATCGACGTGAAGCCGTTGATCAGCTCGCTGACGCCGTTTGAGAAGGCGACCAACGCATGGGAAAAGACGTCGAGAGGAGAGGGTATCAAGAATTTGATTCGAGGGGTGGAGGGCTGATGGTTAATGTGGCTCAAGAGAAAGACACCTCCTCTCAGTCATCTGCAACACGACTTTAACAACCATGCGTCTGTTCTTGCTTCGTCGAGCGTGCATTGTCCATCCTCCAAACGCGTTTCGCCCACATCTTTAAATACTGCCATGTGTGGTACACGCACTCAGTATCGGGGTCGAAACAGCAACTTACCTTGGGGAAATCTGGGCGACGCTCGATTTCCTTAACGCACCTTTTCAATGACATTCCATCAAGTACAAAGTTTAATGAATCCGCATGGCTCCATCGAAAGCCCACCAGCGGTGGTGCGGCCAGATCTACCACATTTGCGTGTCCATCAATCCATAGTTCCGGGCAAGGTTCTCGGGCATTTCTCTTCCAGTGTTTTGGATAAATCTGTTCGAGGATGTCCGTGAGATAGAGGAACATGCTCATCTTAAGTCTCCCATGTGTAGTGGAGTGGGTCTCGTGGAGTACATTGTCGCCTCCAGTGTGCTGAAGCTCGACAGCAACACAAACCTCGTCCACCTTGACACTCTCAAAAGTGTTTCGGATCGAACGGAGCAGCCCTTTCATGTTGATGCGAACATCTGTGGGGTTAGTGGGGCGGGTGAGTGCCACTTGGACTAAGATCGTTGGTACTGCGAATTCTGATAGCAGGCTTTGATGGACGATCTGTTCCATCAGACAATTTCGATGCCCGTAGTCGCGGACACCCATCTCAGCATCATATCTTCTCAACAGATCCGCGTCGCTGTGATCATAGACTCTCTCTTTAACCGTGAGCTCTATGACCACTGGCATGTATCGACCAACAGCTTGGACGAAAGATGCCCGGAATGGGGCGGAAACATCGAAGATATTCCGATCGAAATTGGGTTTCCTGGCGGAGTTGATGGAAAGCCGAAGACGATCTTCCGTGGTGATTGCATAAGCACAGATCATGCCTTGCACTTCATCAGGAAGCTGCGTAGGTGAACTGACTGGCATCGCGGCGTGCCATCTTACAACGCCAGACGCTGGGTAGACAGCAAAAGAACGGTGAACACTTCGCGATCCTGTGTAGTACTCGACCTGACCGTGTTTGCTGAGACGGCGCATCGTGACGGACGAGAGAAGCAGTTCCGAATTCGAAAGGCGTCGAAGATTCAACGTTTCATCTTTGGCAAGAGCCGCGAACGCCTCGTTCAATCGGGCAGTGCCTGCTACGATATCCGCAAGACTCGAGCTGCTGGAATACATGCCTCCGGAACAATTGAATGGGGCCCCAGAGTGGGCGAAGGTAATGCTACAGCGTGGTGGGTCTCCGTTCCAAACTTTCTTTAGTAACGGCAGTAAATTTTGTTTCATGACGACCTTGCCACATCCCCAACTGCAGACAGTCGTGATGTCGATGACTACCTTTTTTACCAACCTCATCTAAGAGCCAAGTGAGGCGAGCCATACCGGCGCATAATTGATCTGGTAGTAGTCATCCCAATCGCTGGCTTGACACCCCCTGATTGCTTCGCGGTCACACCTGGTACCAACTCTGGTAACGACGAAGGTATTGTTGCCGTACAAGATGCCAACCGTTTCGTGATATATCTGGCGACAAGACTTCAGCAAGCCGAGCCCAAGTGAAGCTTCATGCGTGAACTTCTGCGCTTCTTCCCGTCCATGGTCTTGCCTTTTCTGCCAACTTTTCAGTCTGCGCGGAACACGCCTGCACATCCGATAGCGGTCCACCCATTCATCTTCTGAGCTGTCATCGGGGAAAGACTCATCATCTGCACGAATCTCATAAGGCCGTCGGTCGTAGTAGAAGTTGGAGTTATGGATGAGTATTCCAGGTCGTCGTGGCAGCACAAACACGTGTTCGCTGATGGTGTTGCGTACCTCCGCCGGCAGCGTAAGGAAGGACGGCGCGGACGGATCTAGAGGAGCCGAACAGCCTTTTGGAATTTCCATGACAGTGTATGGAAAGATGTGTGCGAAACGGTATTAACGAGGAAAATGGGTGTTGCGAGGCAAGACAGAGCTGATGGCGGTCTGGAGACAAATGGAAGGGGCGGCACAGTATCTGAGCTAGGTTGTTATGGGTTAGCAGGGCAACGCGAAACTCACGCGTGCAAACTTCCAGCGATGGCTCATGATGCTGCTAATGTCATTGATGCTATTCCGTGTCCGTACCTAGCTATCACCGCATTCTCCGCCAGCTCCTGCAGACCATCTCAACACCAGTATCACGACGAGGTTATCGCGCTTCTCCGATGGCGCGTCCAGGCATTCTCCCCGGAGCATGGACCCACTCACAATCCTTCAACGCCTCATCTTCTTTAGCGCATCATCAAGGCTGCCCCATCCGATCTCCACACACCGCCTCAAATCGTCCCAAGCATGTATCAAGCACTCGTCGCGCCTATCTACCGGACATGCAAAGTCCATCAGCTCTGCGCGCCGCCGAATGACATCAGCCACCGAAGCAAGTTTCAACTTCTGGGCTCCCGAAAAGCCAGGGACAGCATTGCTGCTCACGTCGGACTTCCATTTGGTTGCTCTTGTGCAACGAAACTCGTGCGGTTTTTCCATGCATTTGAGGATGGCGCCGAAGCCGTTAATGCGTATGTTGGGTGTATACTGTTGGCGCTCACGAGCATAGATGCTGTCTCGGAGGAGGTCGGTGAAGAAGAGGAAGACGGCTTGTCTCAGCTTCTTTATTGACACTTCAGAACATGCTCTCTGGCGTCCTTCGTTGTCCTTCATAATGATGTTAATGGTCGACCACATGTTGGCGTTGAGTATGGACATGCTGCTCAGGAAGCGCACGAGACCTCTCATATTAATCTTAACATCCTCGAGGCCTTTGTCGTCATCCAGGATGAAGTTGAGGTTGATGCTCTGGCCGCTGGTAAGCCCAAACTCGCCCCTGGCGATGGAGCTGATTGTTGTGTTGTTGATGGCCTCCGGCCAGAGCAGGGTGTCGAGTGCGCTAAATCTCTCGAAACTTGTCTCGACTTCCTGACTGGTCATTGAGAGGGTCAACGAATACCCTGGTCGGATGAGAGACTTTACCGAACAGGGAACCATCCTGAGAAGGGTGAGATCAAGTCCGTGTGTAACATGAGCAGTCAGATCCACGACGATGCCTTCGGGCCCAAGTGCTACATATCGAGCGATGATCTGTCGAATCGATCTAGGCAGGTCTGCGCGGGACTTTATCGGCTTTTTTGGGTTCCAGGAGACTTCTGCTCCTTTACTCAGAATAGTGAAGAACCTTAGCCCCGAGCGTTTGTACTTGACGAAGTGCCATTCAGATCGTCGTCCCACTTGTTCAAATTCAATCACGACACTCTCTAACGATCGCGAAACATGCCTTAGTCCAAGCATATCTTCTTTCCCGAGAGTATGTAAAAGAGTGTTGAGATCTTCGGGGACCACTCCAGGCGCTCTTGCATCATTAGGATGCGCAGAAAGAACTCTCCCTGTAGACTCAAAGACTATCTCGCATCTAGCTTCCGGGTGCGCCCACATAACGCGGAGGAGGGGAAGGACATCGAAATCGGCCACCCAACGGCAATGGGATGGACACATGGCATCCGTGTCGATGACCACCTTTCGCAGGAAGCGGTAGTGATCTCCAATAGAACTCATCCATCGAGCAGAATAATTCAGTTGGTTATATCTTTTGTTATCGTAGAATACTGGAGCATACCATGCACGATATCTGTTTGTAAGGTAGTTGATATCGTGTCTGTCGGTGTGTCGACTGAAAGCGAACGTGTTGTGCCCGTAGAGCACTCCAGCTGCCTCGGACCAAATCTGGCGACAAGATCTGAGTATACTGAGCCCATCCGAAAGGCCATGGGCAAATTTTGCTTCCAGGAATTTTAAATCCTCCGCGTCGTTGTTCATAGCTGCTGCCCATGCTGAACGGTCGCGTTCGTAATGCGAGATGCCTTCGTATTGGCATGATTCGCACAGACAGCGTGGCCCTCCATCATCGTCGTAGTCGTCTAGATCTGGTGCTCGTGGAAAGAAGGCGTCAGCGTTGTGTAAGAAGACGAAACCATCATTCTCGAAAAGCAGCTCGTAAATTGCGTTTCGTATTTCGGCAGGAAGTTCTAAGAAGGAAGGTTTGGACAGGTCGGCAGGGTGAGAAGTGACTTGCATAGGCTGCACGATTGTCGCACCTTGCGACACAAGGTTGGCCATCGCGCGCGCGTCAACGAAGTTTTTGGAACTGTTTGTTGAATTTAGAAAAGGTGGTCAGGTTGAAATTCGAGCAGGTCACGACAAAATGCGAAAATTCGTAGTCTGAATTGAGTGTCGCTACCGCACTTGGATGTGGATACGAACATCTGAGCACCACATCATGAAAAGGCTCAATAGGTCTAGAGCCTACCTTAGAGTTAGCTCACCCACTTTGTATGCCTCTATGTTAATGTAGGCTGCAGGCCTGCTTGGAGTTTTCTTGGTTAACGTGGCACCATCATTCTGCGCACTAATGCGAAGGCACCTTTTCTGTAAATGCACGCTATAGACTAAGACACACTTTGAGGCAGTTGCTGCGATGCTGTCCTGGAAAGGGCATGATCCAGCAATGATATGTACTTGAGTAGAGTATGCTGTAATCTCGCCCACAGGTCCGTGAAGATTAGTGTCTTCGTACACGGGAATCCCACCTCAACTGATCAGCACCAATTAATCACTCCCTCCGTCCTTCTCGACAAGCTATCCGATCATTTCGCCGTCCCGGATGAATCATTCCAGAATCTCTTCCGCATATCGTCGAATCGCGTATGCTGAAGCCATTCCAGCAGGCTCCATCACCACGTCAGCGAACCAATACATGATGACCTCATGGAAACTTGGTAGTGTTTTCCCAGCAGTGACACCACTTCCAATTCCCCTAGCGTTTCTGTTGTACTTGCGCGTGCAGAAGCTGTCCAGAAAGGTCTGTAGATAGTACTTGACGTTTGAGGTTCCCTCCCAAGTACAACTATGGGGACAGGATGGTCCAAGT